TTCCTGTTCTTTCCTCTAGGAATGATCATATAAACTTAATTGATCTAATCTAACTAGTATTATAACTATCTTAAATATATACGGTATATTTATATGTTCTATGATAGTATTCAGACTATAGTAAACATGATAAGAATAAACTATATACGGTTGTAAATAGATTGTTTTATACTTACATAAAAATGATTGATTGTGAGGCCCATTATTTTATGGTCATTTAGATTGGACGACGTTTGTTGACGAGCTCTCCACTTAAGTGGCGCGAAATCTGACTCTAATTTGATCGTATGAATGATCGCTGTCGAAATGTATATGTCGCCTATCCTCGTATATAATCATCGACTTAAATCGCGTTGGTCAATAACGGGATTAAATAAGTCAAATAACGAGAATGGACTTTTGAATATATATATATATATATATATATATATATATATATATATATATATATATATATTGTATATGAAGCGAATGGAATAGAACGAAGCAAAACGACGCGCAGTGGAGATGGCGGGTAAGCCAACTCTATTTAGTCAAGCGTTAATCAACATTTATAGTCACACAAACATGTGATGAATAGGATAAGAAGTGTACACATACATATGCGCTCATATAAAAAACAGTCATGATTGGTATGCGGATAATTAACAAGGTCAAAATGTGACTCAACTAGGATGAATAGATTGGGCTATCTGAAAGCTTGAATAAGGTATATGGGCTTAACATAATAAGCTACACTACATGATAATCACTTTTTTTGATGGAGTTTTTTTCTCTGAGCTCGATGGTTTGTTTGCGGAGCTTTCATAGTTCTTCTGAACGACATGGTCAGAACAAGTTTAAGATCAACAAGAACCAATTAACATCGAGGTCAAGCTATAAACCATATGTGGAGAAATTCGAACACTTCACTTCTATTTGAAGTTTGTGCTGATGATTTCGTTCAGAAGAACGATGAAAGCTTCACAACCAAACCATCCAGCTCAGAGAACAAAACTACATCAAAATCACCCACCGGAGCTACAAATCTTCTCAACCATGACAATCTTTACATTATAATTATATTGTTATGGATGATTTATTTTGAGGTTGATGTAATGCTAGACTCTTATTTACATATTAGTTGAAAAAAATACAACAATATCGATCTATGCTAAACACAAAGTGATGAAGATATATATATATATATATATATATATATATATATATATATATATATATATATATATATATAATGACGGAAGAAAGAATTATGACCTGATGTATGTATGCTCATGTGGATGGATTATCATATATATATGGCCTGGATACACATGTAAGTGATCTCTAGTCATCATAGAAACCTGAGTAAACATTTGAGTCTGTTGCTAAGTGTTTATTTTCAGTGTGTTTTTTGTTGAAAAAAAATTCGAAACAGTTATATTGTTTTATACCTTGTACAAACAAACATTTACTTTCTTATTTGTCAATGAAAATTCTATAGTAATATTATTTGATGAGGATTTTCAAAGAAAATCCCAAGTAATCGAAAGATTGAATATCTAATACTTCTAGTTTAAATTATTGTTATTATTACTAGTCACTGTAGGGCTGCTGCTGCGAAAGACTATATGGTATCATGGTCTATTCGTAGGTCTTTCCAGTATTTAGATGATGAAATGTTTAGATTATTATACCCGATTTATGTGCGACCACATTTAGAATATGGGATTCAAGCAGCGAGTCCTTGTTTCAAGTATGAAGCAGAGATGCTGGAAAGAGTTCAACGACGAGGTACTAAGATGGTAAAAGGTCTATCTGGCCTGTCTTATGAAGACAGACTGAGACACTTCAACTTATTTACGTTATCTTATCATAGAGTACGGGGTGATCTAATATTGGCTTATCGTATACTGAACGATGACCTTGGTATTACCATGTCTCATCTTTTACTTCCGTCTAGGACTGATCATTTGAGAGGACATTCGAAGAAAGTTCAAAAACCGAGATCAAATCGTTTACGTCTGGAGTTTCGTTTCTCGCACCGAATAGTGAATTACTGGAATTCTCTAACAGAATACGTAATATCATAACCTTCTGTCAATATATTCAAAACGAGATTGGACCTCCACAGTATTACAAACTGCAAGGATTAATATAGGTCGATAGACCTCCTATCCTTCTTACTGAAGACTGATTAATGGCTCCATTCATAATTATAATTTTGGCACAATATAGAATTATCAACACAAATTATTTCAACAAGTTTCCTTTTCTTATTTCTTGATTGATCCTGATGACAAATATTGAGCGGTCGTCAGCTAGAAGCTAGCAGTTCAAGAATCGTTATGTGAATAATTTACATTTTTTTCGATGCATATTGCCAGCAACTACGATATCTCCGATTGAGCTTTTTATTGCAACTTGTACAGTGGAAGGTTATAATCTTTTCACACACTCACCTTAGTAGGTTATGCGACTAATAGGCATAATGATGTGTTAAAATAAACAACAAAACAGATAACTTGTCGAAATATCTAGATGGTAGGGAGGAACAGGTAGCCCAGCTATTGAAGCAGGCCACCTTGGTGCTATGATTTAAGCGATCATAATGTTTATAAACGATCATTATATAATTTCAATAGTTGAGATCATGAGTCAATTGAAGCTAGACCATAATGGAAAACCTGGAAGCACTTAACGGTCGTTTTGTCCTATTTTGCGACTCCTGAGCAGTGCGCATCCACGATATTGCCTCGAAAGATTCGAAACCAAGTTTTTCATAGTGATCTAGCTTCAATTGACTCATGAACTCAACTATTGAAACTACTATAATATCCACGAGTAACCCCTTCTGATACTAATCATTATATAGTTTAATATTCGAAGGTACTTTTTTTCTTCTCTCATTGTACTGAATCATTTCAAATAGACAAGCTTCATTATCAATTCTGATATAATAGAACGCTTTTGTACACATAAATAAAATGTGTTTTCTAAATTGTTATAAGAACAATTAATCAATCAATTAACTTAACTAGAGTTCTGTAATCACTAATGACTAGTTTTAAGATAAAAATCCTAATTTCTAGTTCATAGGAAATCATAATCGATTAAGTTCAACTATACTAAGAAGTAAAATAGATATCATTAACTGGATAATTTAAAGTTACTATAGTAGTTATGTAACTTGAATATTCTAGATGAACACTTCTAACTTACTTACTTAAGCCTGTTACTCCCAATGGAGCATAGGCCGCTGACCAGCATTCTCCAACCCACTCTGTCCTGGGCCTTCTTTTCTAGTTCTATCCAATTGTTGTTCATTTTTCTCATGTCTATTTGCATTTCTCGGCGTAATGTGTTCTTTGGTCTTCCTCTTTTCCTTTGACCTTCAGGATTCCATGTGAGGGCTTGTCTTGTGACACAGTTGGGTGCTTTCCTCAATGTGTGTCCTATCCACTTCCAGCGCTTCTTCCTGATTTCTTCCTCCGCTGGGATCTGGTTTGTTCCCTCCCACAGTACGTTGTTGCTAATAGTGTCCGGCCAATGGATCTGAAGTATTTTGTATAGACAACTGTTAATAAACACCTGTATTTTCTGGATGATGGCTTTCGTAGTTCTCCAGGTTTCTGCCCCATACAGTAGAACTGTGTTGACATTTGTATTGAAAATCCTGACCTTGGTGTTGGTTGAGAGTTGTTTTGAGTTCCAGATGTTCTTCAGTTGTAAATATGTTGCTCTTGCTTTTCCGATCCGCGCCTTCACATCTGCATCCGATCCACCATGTTCATCAATGATGCTGCCCAAATATGTAAAGGTTTTTACATGAACACTTCTAAGGGAGGGAAATTAAACTTGAAGAAAAAAAAGTCAACCAAGTATTCATTCATTTTCACTGATTTCTTACTTACATATTTAATTTCTGTTACCTCTTGTGAATAATACTTCAGATCCATTGGCCGGACACTATTAGCAACAACGTACTGTGGGAGAGAACAAACCAGATCCCAGTGGAGGAAGAAATCAGGAAGAAGCACTGGAAGTGGATAGGACACACATTGAGGAAAGCACCGAACTGCGTCACAAGACAAGCCCTCACGTGGAATCTTCACGGCCAAAGGAGAAGAGGAAGACCAAAGAACACATTACGCCGGGAAATGGAGATAGACATGAGAAAAATGAACAAGAATTGGACAGAACTGGAAAGAAAGGCTGAGGACAGAGTGGGTTGGAGAATGCTGGTCGGCGGCCTATGCTCCATCGGGAGTAACAGGCGTAAGTAAGTAAGTAAGTACCTCTTGTAAATGACCATATATATCATCCACTAGAATCTTTTCCAGTTGTTATTCATTCTTTTCATATTTACTTCCAATTCTTGGCCCAGTATATCCTTTCATCTTTCTCTTTTCCCTTTTCCTTTTAAGATTCATTGATTATTAAGTTTATTTCGGTAGATATGATGGGCTATTTATTATTTAAGATAATTTAATTAAATGAATTCATTATAATATCTATGTATACATATCTGTTTCAACCATAAGGTCATATACACATGACTGATTGTTATTTATTCAATAATAATGTCAACTAGAATCTGATCATTAAACTGAAACATACAATGAATTTTTCTCTCCTTTTTTGATTCATTATACAATGAAAGAAACAATTACAATTAATAGAATGAATAATTTAATCTCCCTGAAAGAATGGTAACTTGAAACAGAGAGATAAAGAGAAAGAGAGAGAGAGTGTGATTGAAAAAGACAAAATATGAAAGAGGTCAACTTGATATGAAGCTCTAAAACAACAACACCACCACCACCAACAACAAAAATTAATCATCTCTTTGTCAATCATATAAGAAATCTGGATACATCAATCCTTATGGAAACTGATTCATACATACATAAGTATAGTTAAAGATTACACAGGAGAGAGAGAGAGAGAGAGAAAGATAATCGAAAGATTGATAATAATGTACAGTAGGAGGAGATTTTATGAAGAAATATCCTTTTCAAATGAAGAATAATAACAATGATAATAAACATTCTATTTGTATCAATGTAAATCTGATGTTTTATGAACCACACCCAATTTCATTTTTCTTACGTTACATAAATACTACTACTACTACCAATACGATTACTACTACTACTACTACTACTACTACTACTACTACTACTACTACTACTACTACTACTACTGCTACCACTACTACTACTACTACTACTACTACTACTACTACTACTACTACTACTACTACTACTACTACTACTACTACTACTACTACTACTACTACTACTACTACTACTACTACTACTACTACTACTACTACGATTACTACTACTACTACTACTACTACTACTACTACTACTACTACTACTAATAATAATAATAATAATAATAATAATAATAATGGTAATAATAATGAAGGAAATGATGAAAACTACTTGAAAATTGAATAAATTGTGGATTAAAACAAAATTTACTGATTCATTTTTGTTCTCTTTTTTTTAGAGAAAAAAAAGAATTACTCTTCAATCTAATATTCATTGATTCTATTGAATTGGTAAAATAATAATGGTGAATGATTAGAATGAAACATGAAAATAAGGAATGATTTTTATGTTAGGACAATGGGAAATATACAGGATAGAGGGATGTTCGTTTGTTTATTTGAGGTGTTTTTAACAGATCTTGTAAAAATTGGATAGTAAGTTGGTAGTTTATGATGAAATGTAATGGGTTCTAGTGTTGGAGTGAACATCAAACCTGGGATGCACGTTCATTTGGACAACAAGTTTCAAAACGAAACACAGGTCTTAGATTCCACTGCTAGCTATATTCTATCTTTTCTATTTAAAGTTGATACATAATCGCTATATTGAGTTAAACCTCATAGGATTCACATATGTCAACTAAGATTAATGAAAATCCAGTCAAAATATTTAAAACAGAATTCACATACAGTGATTCTTGGTTTACAATTATGAGTATTTTCTATTCATATCATGAATGGACCACTATTGAAAACCTGGAAGCCCTGAATGGCCGTTTCATCCTAGTATGAGACATTTCAACAGTGCACATCCACGATTTTGCACCAAAGAGACATGAACCCAGAATCCTCGGTCTTGCACACGAACGCTTAACTTCTAGACTACTGACCTAGCATCCAACGGTGTAAATGTCTAACTTCAACCAATCCACGATATTGCGCGATCGTCCACCATTGTCTTCTGTGAGTAACTCCCTCTAAAACAGACACAGTTTAACTCCACTGCTCACGACTTCTCCCTACAACTCCAGGAAATCCATTTTGAAGCTAGTAACTAGTGAGCACATGACAATTATCAGTGTAGGGATTCCGAAATTGTTGACCGTAGATGCGCACTGCTGAGGAGTCCTAATATTAGGACGAAACAGACATCAAGTGTTTTCAGGTTTTCAATGATGATATAATATTAATCTAAACTCAACAATCCCCATAATCCTTTAGTAATATGAACATTTTCTTGATATTTATTGAGTTTTTCTTTTTGCAACTGGAAATTTCTATGAATGGTCTTTGATTTTACTTTAACCTAATGTAACTTCTCTGAGGTATTCATTTTTATAATCAATAATATTCCTTCCCAATTATTACTGAAGAACAATTTTAAAGAAAATATTGTAATGAAAGTTTATGATCGGAAATGAATTCTTTATATTAAGTTTTTTTTTCCTTTTTTTGTGAAATAAATTTTAATGAAACTTAATCACAATTGAATGATCACTGGGTGGTGATCATTGCCATGTGTGTCAACTCCTTCTTAGCACAGATCGAATGCTATCGACCAAGTTGCAATGTGGCCACTAGTCTAGATATCGAGGCAATACACACAGTATGCACATATGCCAATGAGAGACTGACCAATTGCAATCCTATACATCAATGGGAAGATCTAAGTAAACAACACCAAGCAGGCGGCTATCAGGACTCAATAGCTAACTGGATAATATGATGGCGTTTGAAACGAACAGTACCGAGTTCGAGTCCCAAAGTGAACATCAACTCTGAGATGCTGGCACATCCAGCTGACGAGTTCCAAATAGGATGAGACGGACGTCCTGGATTCCATTGCTAGCCACTATCCATCGTAACATCTTTAATTATTTAAAAAACAAAAACAAAATACATTTTATCACAGCTAATATGAATTGTTTTAAAGTTTCTAATTGAAGTATTTAACAGAAAATTAATTTCAATTGATAGTTCTATCATAACAAGTAAGTGATACTTAATTTTGTTTGTTTAAACCATCTTATATTGAACAATTTATGATAAAGATGAAGCGGTGCATTAAATTTCAAGTGATTGAATTAACCTGTGGTTAGAAGTGTTTAGAAGTAATAATAATAATAATAATAATAATGTAATAGAGCTGTATCAAGTATATATTTGTTTATGATATTTGACGAGGAATAAGACACACAAAAGAACGTTGTTATACAATATTAGGGATGTTAAGGGTTTTCGTTTTATTTATCTGAAATTGACTATACTATATACATTCTACTTCTTTAGGAATGATGAATTAATGAGAATCATACTCAATTCAGTATGGATATCAAGATAATTAGTAGGGGATGTTAGTTATATGCTTGAATGTTAGTACGAATTCATCTTACTTGATAAACGGAACGAAGGTCAAAGATACAATGACACGATTGGCTATTCTAATCCGTTGTTTCCGGGCCTGCTAACTAGATCAAGAAGTCTTCATCAGGCGTAGAGAATGTATTTTGCAAGCACTCAGAGAATACGAGGTCACTAGGCACACAAGTCAAACATATTTATACAATGATAGAAACGCCCTTGGGAGAGCCACAAAATAGCTTACTAAGAAAATCAGTCAACCAATGACAGTCAAGGATTTCCGAATGGGAAATGTAAGCTGTAGGTCAACTAAGCGTCTCTTGGCACGAAAACATGAAATTCAAATTTTTAGAATAAGATTACAAAATTAGGACTTTTTCCAAATGAGTTCTGGGGATCTAACGTCCTCAACAGTTAGATCCCGAGAATTAACTTGGTAAATACCTTATTTTTTAAATTCTATTTTAAGAATTTGAATTTTTTGTTTTTGCCCCAAAAGCGCTTATTTCCACCTTTATGTCGTATTTCCCACTTGGGAGGATCTTAAACGCTATGGGTTCGTTGTATCTTTTAGTACACTATTTTCTAGTGCTTCCCAAAGAAATTTTTATGCTATATATATGCTTGATTTTTGCTTGTTGTTATTGTTCGTGTTTCTGGTTGAGTGTGGAATATATTTCCCTCTTCCGAAGTTGGACTTCCCTCTTTAGTTAACGGGGCTAGGACGCATTGGAATAGCTGGCTTATTGGTCATTGTGTTACAGAATCTTTGTTCCATTCTCAGATTAGGTGAACTCGTAATATCTTCAAACATAACAGGATATCAAGATAATTAGTAGGTGTTGAGTTATCTAAACCGGATAGGTTAATCATAAAGCTCCCATTGTATTTCTTGACATTATCATCAAGATATACTTCAAAACGACGTGGCTTATTAGAATATTTTTGCAAATGATTGAAAGTTTGCCCTACGGACATAGGATATCATAGGTTGTAAATAGTGTTCTGATTTCACTTAGCTGTGGTAAATCTGAAATGGAGAATTATATTGAAATCTCAATCAATGAAAAATTGGTCATGTTAACCACAAACGCTAACCTAATCTGACTGAATAGGACTCTGTTGAAGGAACTGAATATTTAACGTAAATGTTTGTTTTTAAAACGTCAGTCAATTCATGATCTCAATCAAAAACTTAATAATTTCCACAACGCCATACTGATAATTACCATGTGCTCACTAGTGACTAGATTCTTGAGGGAATTCTCGGAGTTCTAGTGAGAAGCCTTGACCAATGGAGCTAATCCATGTCAAGTAGAGACAGGTATTTACCTCAGTATAATCGAAGATGGTCGTGCGGTTTCGCGAATTGGTTAGACATTAGCACCGTTGTATGCCAGCTCAGTGATCTAGTGTTTAAACGTTCGCGTGTGAGGTCGAGGGTCCTGGTTTCGAATCCCGCGAGCGGGATCGTGGATTCTTACTGCTGAGGAGTTCCACGCTAGGGCGATATGACCGTCCAGTGCTTTTAGGTTTTTAATTGTGGTCTAACATCAATTGGTTCATGATCTCAATCTAAAACTTAACAGGCTACTTTTTCATAAAATGTCAATACCTTCTATTTTTTCACTGGAAGAAGCAAACAATTCATGTAAGAATAACAAATTTTGAGGTAGAAACTATGATCACTTGACTCTTTAAAATAATTTAACTTCTGAGCTATTACAACTTAATTGCTTAATAGTAATGTATCCAAGTACAGTGGTTATCAATGCATGGTTGAAAGATTAACGGTGAGACTACAGTTTATGAGCGACTTTTGAACGACATTAACGCGACCTTGAGTATGTCCATCTATGATTTACAATGGATGGTTAAAATTAGGAATTAGATTTATGAGTTCACTTAGTATGCGAACGGAATAAAGATTCTGTGACCGTCGACCAATAAGCTAGCTATCTGATGGGTCCCAGCCCCGCTAACTAGAGGATGAAGTCCAAGCTTGGGACGGGAAAGTATATTTCCGTAAGCCAGAAGCACGAGTGAATAAAAACAGACACAAATCAAACGTATATATACAGCATAAAACTGTCCATGGGAAGCGTTGCAAAAATAGTGTACTAAAAATACACAACGGACCAATAGCATTCAAGATTCTCCCAAGTGAGAAATACGACATGAAGGTGAAAAGAGCGCGAAAACAAGGAAATTTAAATTTCCAAAATAAAATTAGAAAATTAAAGCATTTACCAAGTGATTTCTGGGGATCTAACATCCCCAACAATTCTCTGGATGTTTCTGTGACACTTCCATTCAAAAGTTTCCAAGTGTTTTAAGAGCCCCCTGTGCTTTTTTCAAGGAATATTCTGGGTCTGCCCAATAATAATAATCATCATTGGCTTTATTCAATTTTATATTTTTGGTACAATATAGAATTCTCAGCATAAAGTATTTCAACAAGTTTCCGTTTCTTAACTCTTGGCCGATCCTTGCGATAAATATTGAGTGGTTACCAGTTAGATGTTTAGCAATTCATGAATCAACATCTATATAATGTATATTCTTTTCACTGCATATTGCCAGCTAACACGATGCCTCTGATTGGGCTCTTTTGTAACTTGTACAGTGAAATGTCGTCAACTTTTCATACATACACACACACACACGAAAACAGATAACTTGTTGAATCATTCAGATGGCAGGAATAAGTAGCCCAGATATTCAAGTAGGCCGCCTCATTTTTTGTTACTACAACAAGATAAAAACTGATTACATTTGTAAAGATATAATGATATATATCTATTGTCATAGATCATTTTATGCATA